ATTTATCACTATGAAGATTTTTATACAGATTTTATTATTGTATTGCGTACCTCAGTATATAATACTGGACTTTCATTTTTTGTCCGAAGCTGTAATGTTTGAATTTTTAACTTTTGACTATTTCAACGAAGATATATTGATGACAGTGGAATTTGTGTTTTTTAATCTTGTGAGTAATATATTTTTAATTTTTCTATTAATTATTAGATAATTTCATTGAATTTTTTGTAGCACTCTCTTAAGTGTTACAATTCTTTATAATTACAGTTTTAAGTAATTTTACATATATGAATTGTTATTTGTCTTTATGAATTTTAATTTTGATCAAGTAATTTATTGTTATTGACTTTAGTATTCGCGGTTTCTTTTATACACATTTATTTCCGAGGAATCAGACTTACAATGATACTACCCAGATTTCTTCAAGTGGCGATATTACAAAGAAAAACTTTATTCTGTACATTATATTAATTTATGTTATCATTGAAAATGACCCGATCGGGTTCGAAACGTTTGTTAATTTTGTCTGCTAAATTTGTATGTATTTTGTATTATTTTTAATATATATATATGTGTTGTTAATTTTCGATACTTTGGCTCTTCGCCCTTTCTTTACTTGAATTTATTAAAATATCTCTTATGTTTAATTATACTTTATTTAATTACATTTTATTTATATTAATTATATAGATGTATCAATTAAAACAATCTTTTATATAAATTATATTAATATATAAAAAATATAATGTAAACAAATTTTTTAAAGAGTATATAAAATATGTAACCATAAACTTACTGGAAAGCTTTAACAAAATTTGATCCGTTATCGTAGTATTGTTGTACCACATACTTTATTTTGGATGTGGTATTCGAGAAAGACTGAATTAATTGCCTGAGCTAAAACGTCGTATGTATGTTTGCCTTTTATCCTGCGACAAGCTAGTGCAGCCGATTCTCTTTCTAAAGTTTCAGGATTAATCCAGTGTACAGTCATTCCTAAGTAACTTCTATAAATATAAATTTTAATTAACGAAATATTAAACACACACAATAATGTATATGTACTATAAACTAGTTTCGCTTAAATTTTTAATGTATCTGATACATTAAATTTAATCAATATTATTTTAATATCCATTGTTGTTAGTTCGTTTTTGGCCATTTCTCTCAACAGAGTTTGTTATGGATTGGTGCCAAGGGATGAAAACTTAAAATTGCTTTATTTGTAAGCACGAGACAATGTGTGTGTTACTTGCATTCGAACATAAACTTGCAAAACTAAAAACTAACGTCGTGTCCACCTTACTGCCTATCTGCGCGCCACGTAGCGCCTCCAACTCCCTATCAAATGGACGCCGGACCGAGTCGGTAACAGAGTTTATTAATATAAGTTACACATATTATACCTTTTTCCTTTGCTCCACAAATCTGCCGTTGTCGCAACTATTTCTATTTCTGAGTATCAATTGCTTCTTGGTGTAAGAAGGTTATCCTCCATAGGCAGGGGACATAAGCTGCGTGATGCTCGCTTAAACTGGCCTTGTGCTGTTCTGACCGTGACCATCCTAGTTACGCCATCGGCTCCGGGGTGCTCCTTCGTAATTCTTTCTACATGCCACTGGAGAGGAGGCAGACGCTCGTCCTTAAGGAGTACCAGAGTTCCCTTAGTCAAGGCTGTAGTTCCACGAACCCATTTACTCCGACGTTGTTGCTCTGTCAAATATTCGGTCTGCTAGCGCCTCCAGAAATCTTGCCGCACCTTTTGAAGGTGTTGCCAATGACTTAGATACTTATCAGAAACATCAACATAATTCCCTTGTACGGGCTGAAACAAAAAATCTCCCACCAAAAAATGGACAGGGGTTAATACAAACAAAACTTGAGGATCATTCGAGCACGGAGTTCTTGGTCGAGAGTTTACTACCGCCTCGATTTCAACGAGAAGAGTGTAACATTCTTCAAACGTCAAGACCAAACCCTTGGTCGCAGCGTAAAATTGCCTTTTTACTATTTTGACTGCAGACTCCCATGAACCCCCGAAGTTTGGGGCTCTCGGAGGAATAAAGCTCCACTCTATTTTTTGCTTCGCCAACAGTGTTTGTATTGTATCTTCCTTTTCCTTTAAAAATGCGTATAATTCCTTAAGTTCTCGAGAAGCACCTACAAAATTGGTGCCATTATCGGATATCAGACGGGAACAAATTCCTCTCCTTCCGGTAAAACGACGAAGAGCTGCCAAAAACGCTTCGTCGTCAGATCCGTGACTAACTCGAGATGAATAGCTCTTGTGTTGAGACAAATAAATAAGGCAATGTAAGCCTTGAAAGTAGGGTGACGTCCTCTGCGACGGCTCTCCCTTATGAATATAGGCCCTGCATAATCCACTCCACTAATAGCAAACGGACGGATATATCCAGTTACCCTTTCCTTGGGCAAGTCCCCCATCTTCACAGACAAGTTGGGAGGACGCGTTCTAAAGCAATTTAGGTATGAGCGGACTGCTCTTCGAGCTTCTCTTCTGCCGGCTAGAATCCAATACTTTCTTCTGCTTGATGCTAACAGTTGCTCGACTCCGCAATGATGTAGCCTCAAATGCTCTTCCTTCAATATCAGATTAGTTATGTGATGTTGCGACGGCAGTATGATAGGGTGCTTTGTTTCTTCCGGTAAGTCAGCATGCCGTAAACGACCTCCTACTCGGATTAGGTCCTGCTTATCTATGAATGGGTCCAGTGCGATCAACTTGCTATTCCCCTTGATAGCACTCCTCTTTTTGAGACTGTGAACTTCCTGAATAAAGGACTCATGTTGGACTATCCTCGCGATAGCCATTTCTGCCTTATTCAGCTCACGGTGAGACCGCCCCTTTGTTTATTGCGACGACAACCTTCGGCAAATCTGTAACACCAAGCTTAGAATTCTTACGATCCGTTCAAATGAAGATACACTGGGTAATATTGAATATGACGAAGTTGCGATTAGAACAGAGATCTTCTTTTCTCTTTTGTCCGGTAGTTCTGGGATGTTCTCACGCCGTTCTGGCCATTCTTCTTCTGAACGAAGCCATCTGGGTCCATGCCACCATAGGCTGTTATCCTTTAGTTGCTGAGTAGTGGTTCCTCTCGACAGGATATCTGCAGGATTATCGCCAGACGCCACATGATGCCACGAATCTCTCGCCGAGAGCTGTTGTATTTTCGATATCCTATTGGCCACAAAGGTCTTTAAGGTGCTGGGGCAGGCTTCTATCCATCCCAGCACAATCATGGAATCTGTCCACATGTGAATATTGTTGGTTGCTTCGCCTAATGCCTCTTGTACTTCGTGACACAGCTGAGCCACTAGTAGTGCCGCACACAGCTCCAACCTTGCAATGGTTATTGTCTTTAAGGGAGCTACCCTTGACTTGGCGCATAAAAGTCTTGAATGTAAATTACCATCCACGTCCTTGCTGACTGCATAGATACATGCGCCGTAGGCCTTCTTGGAGGCGTCTCCGAATCGATGTAAATCAAATTTCGCCTTTGCGTTGCCTTCCTTTACACAACGAGAAACCCTTATCTCCTGTAATTGGTTTAGAGATGAACGATAACTCTTCCATTGCGTGTATAGATCTTGCGGCAGGCTTTCGTCCCAGCCAACATCTAAGGACCAAAGCCTTTGCATGAGGATTTTGGAGACTATAAGTACAGGCGATAGAAGTCCCAATGGATCGTAAATCTTTGATATTTCCGATAATACTGTGCGTTTAGTGGCTCCCTGAAGGTCCATATCCCTTATACTGCAGTGTAAGAGATCTGTTCTATGATCCCATAGCAATCCAAGTGCCTTCAGAGGCTCTTCTTTGTTTAATACCAATAGTTCATCGGCCTTGCTATCCACTGTCAAATGTTGCAATATCTTTTCATTGTTTGCTCTCCATTTTCTCAAAGGAAATTGACCTTTTCCTAGTAATGTCATAAGTTGTTTCTGCAGCATAATAGTTTCTTCAAGATCGTCGGATCCAGTGATTACATCGTCCATGTAAAAATCCGATTGAAGTGCTTTCCTTGCAAGGGGGAATGATTCTCCCTCTTCTTCTGCTAGTTTCTGCAAACAACACTGTGCCAAATAGGGCGCACAGGCGCACAGTGGTCCAAACGCAAAAGATTCTGTTCAAAACAGTCTACAGGTCGTATTTCTCAATCGATTTCAATGATCTTTGAACAGAAATACTCAGAAATAAATTCCTAAGAGAACTAAGAAAGCTGAATTTGGATTTTCTTTGTTTATGCAAAAATATTTAAACAAATAAGGTGATGAATTGACACTTTTCCACTAAGTTATTTTTTATTTGGTTACAAACTACTTTAATGAGCTCACTATCAATAAAAATAAATATTATCCCATCATAAGAAAAGAAATAATTCGTTAAACATTTAATATTATTTTTATAAACAAATTATTAAAACAAATTATGAATCTCCGCGCTAATCAAATTATGAAACAAAAAGAGTCATTTTTACTTCAACGTTGAATAACTTGGTGAAAAAATATCGTACAGAGGTCAGTAGAAAAGCAAATTAAAGGTAAAGATTCAATCTTTCGAAAGCTGTAAACGGCATTTGTGCATAATTTTTAATTTAAGTCATGGAACTTCTCAAATTTCGTAAAAAATTTTGAGGTTGGACACATCTTCAATTATGTTTGTGTAACTTCATGAAATATCGGCAAGACCG